GGGCCACATAAGGAGCATGTTGGAGAAACACACCCCAGAACAGTGATGGCAACAAGACAATGTGGCCAACAGGAAGACACTCACAGAAGACACAAATTTAAAGTCATTTGGGAGCCTTCTCTACTCTTGCAAAAGTGAACTTGAAGAAGAATCTCTTCTTTAAGCACCAGTTGAGTCCTGCCACAGCAAGTTCCCTTGTAGGAGATTAAGAAAGGTTGAGATCCTGTGAAGACCAGGTAAATGTGGCAGAGCCTTGCCAGCAGTTTCAGGAGGAAACATATGAGGTCTCCACTGCAAACATCAAAGTGAAGAAGAATTCCTTGGATCAGGATGAAGTCTGCACTGGGAGAACAATCATGTCCCTTTGAGGTGTTTTCAAATATTAATACTGTTCACTGAGTCAACAATACTCCTTGAACACTCTACATACTAGGCATTGTGTTAGAAGATGAATTGTCCCAGGTAAGTGAAACAAAGGTCTGATCTCAAAGAATTCATGGACATGAAGGATGCAAATGAACTGCCAATCCCTGTGAACAAGTCACCAGGTCTTCCTGAATTCTCCAGTTATTATGTTGGTATGGAGTGTTCCTTAGGTAGCGTAGATGAGCAGTTACTGTGTGCTTTTGATGAGAGATAGGTAAAGGTTGTCTCCCACAGAGGGGCCTCCATTGGGCTACTCAGTGATTCCTGATTCCAAAGATGTAGAGAAATGCAAAGGTTAGCAATTGGACTTACTGCTTTATCTGAGGTCTATGGTGGGTTCCCAGGAATGTGAGAATATAGCAATCTTTGCCTTTTTCCTGACGCTCTTACTATTGAACAGAAACTGGCAACAGGGCTCTGAGAACATTTCTATTCTCAAAGGGTGAGGTCCTTATGGTGCATGTGCTCTTGGAGCTGTATGTTGACACTTACAAGGACATGGGCTAGGGCCATTGAAACCCTTATACAAACAAAGATGGCTTTTTCTTATGAGGACAAGAAGGTGGGAGCTCTTCTCCCTGAAAAAATCAAAACAGGTAAGAACAACATCTGCATATGCCAAATAGGTATACAGAGTAGTGACAGGAATCTTTAGAAAGCAGTGCACTTTCACTTTGAAGTCTAGAAGTGTTCATGAGGGGAACAAGTAAGACATAATGCCAGAAATAACATGGTAAACAATGTACAATCAATGGCTTGGCCAAGAGGTAGAGTGGGAGGCTCTATCTCCCTCTCCATCCTGCCTGAAGACAGCTGACATCTGATCCACCTAATGTAAAGGCCTACTTACCCCTATTGGCCTCCATTCCTACCAAGCAATCTCCCAGACTTCCTTGTATCAAATGAATAAGTGCTATCAAAACAATGGTTAGTATTTCTGAGTTACTTTTCCACACAAAAGGTGGTCAAGAATGAAAACACATTCTAAAAAGGCTATGACTTTATTACAAGGAATGTTATGTGAATTATGATGGATGAAATTAGGATTTTTCAGAAGTGTACAGACCAAATGGATGAGTCTGGAGGGAGACAAGGCAATGAAGTCATCACAGTTGCCCAAAGTTCCCTGATCAGCTATTCATTCGGGGACTTAATGAGTGTGCGTGTGAGAATGATCTTGACTGAACATGATCTACCTTCATGGACCAGCACAAAAGATGTCAATAGTATTCTACCTTTGGAGCCTACAAAGGTGCATATCTTTCTCTCTCAGGAACCCCAGGCCTGTCTTAGTTTATTTAAAATAAGCACTATCTTGGAAACATTTAGTAGGGACAAGTGAAGGCCTGACTGCTAAGGATCTCAGCTTTACTGCAGATTTGGCGGCAGCCCAATGACATCTCTGATCTCCAAATAATCAGTCACCAGGAGCATGGCACCACAGTGAGTCCCAAGGTGATTAGCTACTGCTTGGCATATCTCATCAGCTTGAATCCAGGATGGCTAATCTGGACCCAGGATCAGGACAAAGCTGTTCATCTAAATTACTCTAATCTGCAGGTAGATTCTGATCAGCCTGCTCCTCTCCCCTTGATCTATCTTTTGTTTCCATAGCAGCTAAAACCTCAGTAAAATGGCAGCATCTGGCCCAGGCTCAGGTAAAAGTCCCCTGGGGAAGTGATTCTGCTCGATGGACACAAAAGGGGAACAAAGGACTCTAAGACACAGCAGCATGAACAGCAGTAAGATGAAGGGCAGAGGCTCAGCACTAGTGGGGATACAACAGGTAAGTGTGTGTGTGTGTGTGTGTGTGTGTGTGTGTGTGTGTGTGTATGAAAGAGAGTGAGAACATGAATATAGAAATTGAGGCAGAAATATCTAGGAGATTGTGAGACAAAGGAAAAGTATAGAGCAAAAGGGGCAGGAAAAGGCGATGCATAGAAGAGAAAGGGGGGAAAATACACAAACAAGGACGGAGAACTTACTGGCTAGAGGAGAGACTAAGAAAAGACATCAAACAGGAGCCAGTCTCTTGGCATGAGGCAAAGGAAGTCTATCCCAGTGATAAATATTCTGCGGATTTGAAAGGCACAGACTGCTCCAGCATCTAATAGTGCTAGAATCCTCCTTCATGGTGATGAACGGCATGCACCATGGACTTAGAAAGTCTCTCCATTTGGATGGCTCCTCCTTCAGAAGTGCCCAGATCTGTTCTTCATCACTAATGATCTCCTGCACAGCTGAGGTTCTTCCTGGATTTTGGGCCAGTCCACACATAAGATGCTTTTTTTTGTGGCACTGGGGTTTGAACTCATAGCCTCTTACTTGCTAGACAGGCTCTCTACTATTTGAATAATTCCCCCAGCCCCTATAAGGTCATTTCAAAGGGAGAGATTGGTAGAGACACAAGTAGCTCTCACTGATCCCTTTGATCACAGTAATAGCTTAAAGAATGGTGGCATAAGTGTGCCAAGAATTCAGGATAAACACAATCAAGCATTTCACACCTCTTTGGCAACATCTATCATGGCACACTGTCACTTTTGGAGAGGATAAATTCAGTATGTGGAGACCACGATAGTACTGCATTGATTTTTAAAAAATTTCCAAGTGTAGTGGACACTATGATGCACTTGCCCTTCAGGAATAGAGAACTTATGCCTCAGTGAAGGACCATGCTGGGGTGAACAATCTTCAGCTGTTAGCGCCTTGTGGGGACTGTCTTATGTGAAGACAGACATCTGCCTGATTCAAGGTTGCAGCCCTTCTTGGCAGAGCCTAAATGCAACTGACTGCTGTGTTGATACGAAGAGCCAGCCCCATCACCTCAACATAAGACATTTAAGAAGGGTCAACCTGTTCCCAGTCTCCACAGATGTTCCTGTGGATCCCATCATAGTTCAACTTCTCCTTCCACTCAGCCTTGCTTCCTTTCCTTCCATAGGAATCAACCTCAACAGCACTTCTAATAAACTTCTCTTACCAGTCATCTTCTCAGGGTCCACTGGTGAGATACCCAACCTGTGACAAGCTAATAATCTCCATTATGGTGCTTTTGGAGTCCTTAGAGTTGCACTGCCAGCAATGCATATACCTTCACTCAACCATGCATGCAATGACATCATCATTACACACATGCATTTCACATTAGCCAGAGTAAGCAACAGAGTGAGGACATCTTTCACGCCTTTGCTCAAGGGTTTATCTTTTTCAGAACTTCTTCACCCCCCCGCCCCCCCCCCCCCCCTCCCCCCCCGCCCCGCCCCCCCCCACCCCCCCCCCCCCCGCCCCCCCCCCCCCCCCCCCCCCCCCCCCCCCCCCCCCCCACACCCCCCCCCCCCCCCCCCCTCCCCCCCCACCCCCCCCCCCCCGCCCGCCCCCCCCCCCCCCCCCCCCCATCCCCCCCCCCCACCCCTCCCCCCCCCACCCCCCCCCCCCCCCCCCCCCCACCCCCCCCCTCCCCCCCCCCCCCCCCCCCCCCCCCACCCCCCCCCCCCCGCCCCCCTCCCCCCCCCCCCCCCCCCCCCCCCCCCCCCGCCCCCCCCTCCCCCCCCCCCCTCCCCCCCCCCCCCCCCCACCCACCCCCCCCCCCCCCCCCCCCCCCCACCCCCCCCCCCCCCCCCCCCCCCCCCACCCCCCCCCCCCCCCGCCCCACCCCCCCCCCCACCCCCCCCACCCATTCTGTCAATGCATACTGTTCTAGTTTCTCAATCTTATCTCAATGTTGTGTAATCTTTTTTCCTTTTTTTTTTTTAGTCACCTCTCTCATAACAATGTGAGTTCATGAGAACAGAAATTTTTCAGTTTGGGGTTATTGTTAAATTCCCCAGTGCCTAGAACATCCTGGACTATTGCAAAAATCAATAAATATATAAGAATTAATGAAATGACATTATATTCTTTGAGCCCAAATAAAAGTTAGCTTAATGATGAATGACATCATGTCTTAAATTGTAAAGGTTTTACTACTCAATCCATGACAGCACAAAATGCCCAGTCTGGTCTGCATAACATCTGAACATTTAGCCAAAATAAAATTTGCAATTTAGCCACACATTAAGTTATATTTGTTTTCTAGGATCAATCAGAGAAAAGCAGCAGCAAAACCACAAAAACAACTAATGATCAGATTTTTGGCAATGCTGAAGAGGCACAGACTAGGAAATTTTCCTTTTAGGAATATGGCCATTTACAGCTCTCATTCCTCATTATGTGTTTGTGTTTCCTATCTCTTAAAGCAACCAGCTGTACAGTGCCACCAGAGCACATCTTTCCATCATCAAACTTGACATATGAAGTTCACCCAGAACATCTTAACCACTATTTCACCCATAGACAGCTGTAATTAATTTCCACAGTACTGGAGAGATACTTAGGTACGAATTCTGAAACCTTAGAGGATGTGGCTGTTTTGCCGAGAACACCACAATTCTCTGCAGATCCATGAGTGTAACATTATCAGGCTACTAGAAATGTAGAACCCTTTGGACTCAGTAGCCAGAACACAACCTCCTGTCTATAACCAACAGTGTTACTGTCTCTTATAACCCAATGCAGCAAGTGGTTGGTCTTACCTTTAGGGGAGATATGTCTCCAGGTGACTGTAGGCTCTGGTCTCCCTGTGGCTATACAGGTGAGGCTGATATTGTTCCCTTCATTAATGGAGATATCAGAAGAAATCTCTACAATTTTGGGAGATACTGTGAAGATAAAAAGACAAAAGAAAAATAAAAATCCTTCTGACACTTTTCTTTCTTGTGTTAAAATGGTAGTTGACAGAATAGCCCAAAGACAGAAATATATGGACGACAGTTGTAAGTGATGAGAAATTATAGGAATTGCTTTAAATATGAAAAATATCTCACCTTGAATTTAGTTTATGTTTCTTCCTGTTTAAACCCAATGTCAAAGCACCCAAATGGGACTAAAGTCTACTGCAATGCTGCACTGTTCCTCTAGCTACACCTTCCTGTCTCTACTCCCATCCTACCCACCTCTAACACATGTCCACGACTCATTCTTCTCACTACATTCAGAGATGGTTTTACATAATGCAATTCTGATCATAGTACCTCTCTGCCCAAACAGCTCCAGTTGCTCCCTATTGCCACCTGATCATCACCAGGTTCCTTATCTTAGCATACAAGGCAGCTCAGAGTCAAGCATCAAACCTAAGTTCACAATGCCATCTCTGTGACCCCAACTCCACTTCCCCACTTTGCATCCCCATACATCATCCACTTTCAATAATTGTGCATGTGCATCTATATTGTTCCTTATATCCTCCCTGGAAATCTTCCAGTTTTCCTTTAAGGCCCAGATCAGATGACACTTTTTTAATTGCAGCCTTCATGACCTCTACACCTCTCAGCTCAAATTTAGTTCTGCTTCTTCATCCACATTCCGAGAATATATTATTCAACCTAATGAGGAACTGAAAATAACATGTTAGCCATAACACATTCTCTTTCTCTCTTCTTCTTCTCTTCTTCCCTAAGAGAGGAAATGCTCATCTTAATGGGTAAAATTGGAGCAAGACTCTCACTTCCTTTAGTTTTTTGTTTGGGATCCATGCTTTCTTTTTGAAGTCTACATGCTGCTATGCTCTTCCACTTGTTTTCAGAAGCAGCACCCCACTGATTGGGTGCTGCAGCCCTGTCAGTCACTACATGTGTTCACCTGTCTCAGGCTGGCATCCAAATGCAGAAGCTCATTTTATACTCCACATCCAAACCTACTTCTGAAGTATCAGCTTTACTATTAGTCAATGTGATATTGGGGTCCCTATGTGACTACTCATTTGTCGAATCTGTCAAATGGTTTATAATTCAAGTGGATAAGGTAAAGGTGTCATTTATTGAGCCCCAAACTCCAATCATATATACTTCCCCACTATGTTACATCTCTCACCCTCTACACCATGAGCTTTCTGATGGCCTGAACCATACCTGCTCATCTTTGCACCAACAAAAAAGCTCACAGATATTCATAGGATTGAATTATAATGATTATTCCCAACCTGCTCCATGTTCCCAACTGCCTCAGAGGGGGGATCATTAGTATGTATTATTTCATTCCTACTGATACTGGATTTGATACAGTTTTTGGGAAATAAAATGTCCTCTCCATCCAGTGCTCTTACGTTTCTTCATGGTGTGTTCTTTCCTTGAATGAGTATTCCTGGTCTACCTCTCAGTGCAATTCCAGAGCACATGACTCTGCCAGTACACGATGTGACCTACTCTGCTGGAGAACTCAGGGAGGCTGCATGGATACTTTATTCCAAGGTCAGACTGGTGCAACCCCTAAAATCAGATTGCTTTGGAAATTTCAATGCTTGTCTTATACTTGAAGAGCCTTCTGTTCCATTGCTCACTCATTCTTACTTGTGTTGGAACTTTTCCTCCATGACAGGAGTATCTTCTCTCGACCTTCTTTCCTATATCTCCTTCTCCATCATTTTCCTTCCCTCAGGGTCCTACTTGCATCCAAATGGGTGCAGTCATGTTCATAGTCATGTACTACATGTTTGTCTCCATGTCCTATGATCTCACTGCTGGTATGAGCTCTAAGTGCTTGTCTTTGATTGGACCTACTAGAATTGTCCAAGGCCAAGGAGAATTACCACCCCTTCCATATGCCTTCCACATTCCCAAGGGTTGTTATTTCTCTTTCCTAGGGATCCATAGCATCAGAATTTCTTCTTTATGCATTTAAATTATTCACGCATTACATTTCTCTTGCCTTTCTTTTTATACTATAAATTATCTGACTAAGCGATGTTAAGTAAGAGCTTTATTCATCTTTTCATTTTCAGCTGTCCTGAATTGGGTGCATAGAGTAAGCACCAATTAATCATTTTTAGATTTAAGTCCACATTGAGCTTCAAATAAAGAAGCAATGTGTGTGTGTGTGTGTGTGTGTGTGTGCACTCACAGATACACACACACAAGCACACACATACTTGCAATATCAGAAAGAAATAATGGTACAGAAATAATGGACAATGGATTCAGTGAACACTGTAGAGAATCTCAGGGCTCTACAATCTGAGACTTTTAAGACATAACACTGCAAGTTGTGGTTGCATCATTTAAAAAGCTACATTGGGACTTGCAGGACATAAAGGTAATTGATGAGTTAATGACTGCTTGATTTGCTGACTTCCTGACAGATACAAATTCTAAATTCTCTTAGTTCTCTAATTGTTTAACTGATCTTGCAGAAATAAGGACTTTGATGTATTTTATTCACAGAGCTTTGACGGGAGCATTCTGTTCTCCTGAACTCTTCCCCCAACCCAGACAATTACCTGGTTCCTTGTCCAGCCCATTCTTGGCACCCACACAGCCTTGCTAACTTCTTGGAGGACAGACTGCCTGCAGTGTCTCTGATGGCCTTGCAGACATTGCTTCAGCTGTGCAGGTAAGTAATTTATTGATCTGTAAAGCACTCCAAGATGCTCTGCAAGGGATTATGTCACGCCAACGCCATGCAATAAAATAAAAAATGATGGACTTTGTGAACACAGGGTGATTTAGAGTTTGTAGTTGGAAGTGTACTTAAAGTACATTTTAAGTGGAAATCAGGCTGGGTAATGAATTACTCTTGCTTTGGAAGGGCTTACTGGGAGTTCATTTTCCTGGCTTCTTACATGATAGCTAATCTGCTAATCATACACTAGAGAACAATGGACAGTCCCCAAGTAGGATGGAAGGTGGTTTGGGGCCAGAGTTGTCAGCACACTAAATATATTAAATGAGACAATCACACCTCATGCTTGGAAGAATCATCTAGAATTGTCTCCCCCCACTAGCCATTGGAAAGTATCCAACTCACACGGTAAAAGTTGGAGAAATGCTTGCCACCCTTTCAATGCTGCCTCAGAGTAGAGCATGAAGGAGATAACTGCCCCTGGATGAACTTGAAAGGTAAGTCATTCTCATGGCATGGAGCTGAGGTGATTTGACCAGAGATCCAGTCTCAATTATCATAGGGAAATTGAACAATGATGTTAGGGGATGAAGGTACTAATTTCTAGGTGGCAACTTCTGGTACACTGTCAGTACTCAAAATTGAATTATGGGTTTGGAGTATAGCTTAGTAGTGGAACAAGTCCTCAACACAAAGCCCCTGGTTCAGTCCCCAGCACCGAAAGTAAATAAGTAACTAAATAAGTAAATCACTAGATAAAATAGAACTGATAAGGTAAACACTATGGTTTCAGTTAATTCATATTCATAAGGAACACTATGGTAAATGAGTTAGGGCTACTTATATTTTTATATTGTTTCCATGGATACATTCTTTATCTTCCTTCCCCTCACGCAGGCTGTTAGAAACATACCAGGAGTGTGTGCTTCTTTTAATGCACACACTTACTCACTCTCTTGTCAATATTCACAGATCACTCTCCATTTGCCAGCATTGTACAAACTAAGACACAGTCCTTGTCTGCAAGGATTTCACAATCCAGAGATGTAAAAACAGACACTGATGTCTAACCCTTTAAAGGATTGTGATGTAGAAGAATGGATCAGATGATATGGGACACAGAGTTTAGACTACTAAACCTGCCAGGAGATGGACAGCATGGGAGGTTTCTTAGATAGATGATGATGATTTTAAGCTGATAAGTAAAAAGAAAAGTTAATGAAGTCTGGGAAGGAGAGAAGGAGGGACCTTCTAGGCAAAAGAGACAACATAAGGAAAGCAGCATTAGTAAGACTTTTTTGGCTTTGTATAATTATTAATGAAAGTAATTTCCTTTGGAGACTGGGCCAAAAGTCACTCAACAAATATTTTGGGAATACATGCTATATAAAATTGTATGCTAGGTATGAATGCCATGCAGAAACGTACCAGCTTGCTCGGCTCTCTATGAACTTACAATCTCTCTGGGGAAAGGGTACATAGAAACATTTCAGAGAGTTGAAGACTAAATCAGAATGCATCAGAAAAGCGCATGTGAATGAATGTCAAATGAATGATGCAAACAGTAAGCACTGTAAGCTAGTAGGAGGGAAGCTCACAGTAATTGGGAATGTGGGAGATCATTTCACTTCCCATTAGTATCACTACACAGAAATAAAGGCGTTGTTTCAAGTGGGGCAGAATTATGTTGACCCAGATAGGGAGGCAGAAACCTACCAGGTGCATTAAGGTACAATGTCTACCTATTTCAAGTAGGGATTGTGTCCTGGCCCTAGTAGGTTCCAGCTGGGTGTCTTCAACTTCATTTCTTTATCTCACTGTCTCTTGCCTTCTTCATCTACAAAATGGATCTAATAATTCTACAGAATTATGGAGTTCATGAGATTTTTTTTTAAGATTTAAGAAGGTTTCTGAAATGCACTGAAAGCAGTTCCTGGCAATGTGAAGAGCTCAATAAATGCATTTTAATATTGTATGTGGTTGGTAATATGTGTTGCATTGTCAACACAGAATGAACAGTCAATAAATTTATAGGAATTGATGAAAAATGGGATAGAAGATCAATGAGGTAAAGTAGAGCCAGATTGCAAAACAGCCTGAAGGGCTAGGTCTTGGATTTTAACTTCATCTTATAGGTTATGGCAAGTATTTGAATTTTTTAAAGGAAATGCCATAATTTTTCAAAATTTATTTTAAGAAGAAGAATCTGTTAACCATGTGTCAGAGAAGTGGAATAGGGAGAAACTGGAGTCAGAGAAATATATCT